TAGCCACTTGAGAAAATCAGAGCACAGTCCCAAAGCTTCTACATATGTAAGCTTAAAGTCAAAAGGACAATACAAACAAAGGAGAGGAAATAATAGAAACAATGATAGAGGGAATACCTTGATGAGCTTTAGTGGTCAGGAGGTTGAACTATTAACAGTAATCAAGGATAGAGCTAGATAACAACGATTCACAGTATTTAACAGTTATAGACCCTCAACAAGCAGTGTAAACAGGAAAAATTTATAACAAAGTATGTTTATGATCAGGTAAAGCAATCTTAGAGACATAAAAGAGATTTAATCTCTTCAGTGATGGGGAAAAATTCATAATGCTGACAATGCATTGGAATAACAATGAAAAAGCATGGAGGAAAATTCAAGGGTAGAGGAACAAGAAGGAAGAAAAAAAGGAGGTAGGCTTGCTTTTTTCTAAAACTTAACATGGCCATGAGTAAAACAATGGAAAAGAAGAAGAGCCTTTTCTTCTTAAAGCTACACTAGCAAGAATAAAATGGAACAAAATCTAACAAAGACTTAAACATATAAAATACTGTAACAATGATGAAGAGATGTGGATTGAATACAAAAGAGTGAAAGAAGTACCTTGAGGTGGTTTGGTCTAAAGATGATGAATGGGTAATGAATCACAAAACAAATATATGGAAGAGTGGATGGGTTGATAGGAAGGGTAAGAATGAGAAACTCAGGGTTGAGAGGTGAGAAATTTAAAAACAAAAGGCGTGGCATGATGCTAAGTTTGGACATGGCAGAAGTGAGGTTGATTTGCAAGGATAGAATGGTATGGTGTAGTGAAAAGAGGATTTGGTAGATGTCTTTTGCATGGATTAACTGGACTTTGGGACTTCCTGTTTCACTTTTTGGCATCTGTTCTTGAACAGGAAGACTGACAATTATTTACGTAGACAGGCTAAGTAGACAGGGAAATAAAAAATAGACAACTTTATTTAGGTCTCTGATTCTTGAACTCATTAGATTGAGTTGTGTTTTTTCAGGGTTCAGAAAGACGGGAGGGAAGATTTTCCTGTGCTAGCCAGCTAGTTTAATGTAGCAACTGTTTTCTTTGTGTATAGATACTGGTGAGAAGGAAGGGTAAAGCAAAGGAACTTAAAGCAGTGTCCCAAGCAAGTAGTATGAATGAGTTGTATATATCAGAACAACTTGTAATGCTCTAAAAAAGCCTTGGAGAGACAGATAGATTACAGTTGTCTTTTGAGGGAAAGTTGAAAGAGATGGAGATAGTTCACCTAGAGAAACCATAGTCTTAGTTCTCAGTTACCTGAAGGGCTGTCATGCAGAAGATGGAGCAAACTTCTCTGTTATTCAAAGACAGATTAGGACCAAGAATTTAAAACTTCAGGGAAACAATTTATGCTAAGAGTTGTGACACTGTCACAGACTACTTTGGGAAGTGATGGGTTCTTTTTCACTTGAGATACTGAAGCAGAGGCTGGACAATCATATATTGTCAATTCTGTAATTAAGGGATACATGGCTGTTTTGGGACCAAGGACTGCACTTACCTGTGGATTGGCATGCCAGAAGCTTTGGACTGGCATGCCAAAAGCTGGATTCTGAACAGCAACGAGGAGGACAAACTAAATGTGATTTATTTAAAATTCAAATGAAATTAAATACAGTTTAATTTTGTAGAAGGCCTGAAAAATAAATAAGTAGCAACTTTGGGAGGAGCCATGGGGGTGGCATCTAAAGCTGGAGGGCTACGGATCCTGCTTTAGCTGGGTTCTGTATTGTATATCCTGTAATGAACAAGTGGTTAGACTAGATTATCTCCAATATATATCTCAAGCATTGAATTCTATAATACCAAAAAGTGCAAACCTTATGTTCAGAAAGAAGGGATGAAAACTGAACACCTCTTTAACTTAATTTCTGTCCACCTGGGAAGGTGGCTTCCCTAATATAAGAGACAATATCCTTATTGCATTTGCAGGGGATAGTAAAGTGAGAAGATACAATAGAGGGTAAAGTGAAATTCAAGGTACCTTTTTTGTCAGTCAGCCCATTAATAATAATTAATTTCAGCAATGACTAATTCCAAAATGTTGCACTTCTATTTTTTTTAGAGCACAGAAAATGGGCTGGTTCAATAATCTCTTGAGGCAAAATTATACACCAGAAAATAGAAAGAGCTGTCACCACCCACTTCTTGTCTCTTTTCCCCTTTTTCTGACAGTGTGAAGTTTATCACAATGTATTACTTTGCTATGAGCTTCCTTTGCTTTGAGTTTTTCTGCTGGACAATAATCAGATGTGGAAATCAGGAAAAGTACATAATGATGGTGTCAATTCCTGAATTGCAATAAAGATGCATTGAAAGACAGAAAGAGGAAGAAATAAAGTGACAGCAGCATAAAGTCTTCTGTAAGCATATGGTTCTACATTGAAGAGATACAGTGTGTGGTTCCCAAATGATGAAATACTGGCCTTAATGTACGATAAGAAGATCCAAAGTATTGACAAATTTAAATTGTTGTTTTGGATGCATGAACCACTGGAAGACTGATTTCCTCCATGGAACAGTACTTTCCCCCCTTTCTGCTTCTGTAAGTGTAATTACCACCTCTAGAAGATCAACATACACAGGAATTTCTCGGTGCAGCTCACATTGAAGTTACAGCTGAAAGATACAGAAAATTTCAGAAGCATCCTTGAAAGCATGAACCCATCCTTCACTTGGTGAACAAAGGATGCTGGGAAGCAATCTTAACTGAAGTGTCCTGCATTTTCATGGTTGATTCCTACCCATGATTCTGATGAAATATCTTAATCCCTTTCTCCTTCTCTGTGTATATATGTGTATAAACCCACATGTGTGTAAGTGTCTATATATATGTTAGACTAGACTGCATTAAGAACTATTGAGCAGACATGCAAATTATTCAGTTAACAAACAAATTAAACAATAGTTCAAGTATAATATTTTCTATATTATTTCAATGGGAAACTCATGAAGATGTATATTGGGCTTCCTTGCTTATGCTAGATGACATTAGTGCTGGAATGGAATTTCCACTCAGCTGTAGAAAAGCTGAGTAAAAATGTTAAAGCTTCAATATTTTTATCATTAATTCACCTGATCTGAATTTGGGAATTTTCTTAAGTGATCTAAACCAATTTTGAGGGATTTAGTCTATCTTAGCTGCATATAATGAAAACTGGAAATTAAAAGTTTTTCTTTCTCTTCTAATTTAGATATAACAGTCTTGGTCCTTTGAATTGTTCCATTTGGTCCTTTGAATTGTTCAATCTGAATCAATTCCATGAATTGTTTCCGTTTGCACCTGCCCTGTAGTCCTGTAAATAGCCATTTGTGGCAACATCTGAAACTATTCCTCCTTTGTATGAATTGTATGAATTCTTCTTGTCATTTTGAAGATAGTGAAAAAGCCTCTGACAATTGAAAGACTGTATTTGTATTTGCATCTGCATTACTTCTGCATCTCTCTTCCAATAGCAAAAGCAATACCTTTCCCCATAATTTAAACTTTCATTTTGCTTTCTTTAAAGAAATTAAACTGCTCGCAGAAAGAAGGGGGAAAAGCCCAGATAGCATTCTAATTAAATTAAATTAAATACATTTATTCAGTATGAGAGAAATCACAGCCCTCCTGATACTGCCAAACTATAGTAGGGTCAAAAGGAGTTGCAGATAGAAACACCTTGAGGGCCAGAGGTTTCTTAGCCCTGCTTTAATAGCAAAATTAGCAACTAAATCAAAAATTCAACGTACTAAACAGCTCCAGTGTTGGTTTGGGAACAATTTTCAAGGTCCATATGACCCATAGTGTCCACAAAGGATGCTGTTTTCCTTGCCAACTCTAGCATTTTCTTCCTTTTAGGTATAAGAAGAACTATGTAGAAAACTCACTGAGCCAATAATTCTCTCTTAGACCAACCTTCGTCTCAGGGTTGCTGTTGTGGGGAATAATGGGCAATCCCCTTGTAAACTCTTTTAGGCTGAAGGAAAGCCAAGATATAAAATTTTAGGACTGTGATTCAGTTTTGTGGGGGAAAGGATTATTGATGGCACTCACTTGGCACCCATAGTGTCCTTAAAGAAGTTGCCTCTTTTTGTGGGTTTGTGCTGCTCTCCTGTGCAATCCCGGGAAAAGACATTTGATTTAAGAAGATGCCAAGAGGCATCATGTGCATTCTGAACCACTTTTCCCACTTCAAATCTGGATCATTTCACAGTGACTTATCATCCTCATCCTCAGACTGTATAATATTGGAATAATACTCTCTTTTCAACTAACACTAATTACTTAACTGGATATAGCATTTTTGCACAAATTAATATGTAAGTGTTCATATAGTTATGTCAAAATGGCAGCAGTGCTATCTCTATATGTAATTTAACTGCTTCGTTAGTTTTCTGTAGTGCTTTCACAGGCCATCATTCAGAGCAAAACTCTCAAGGCAACCTGACATTTAGAAAAGAAATTACATGAATACCATAGCATTAATACAAAGTTCCATATAAGAATAGTAAGACTTGTTGGTCCTACCTCCATCACAGCCACCAAAACCTCAAGATTCAGAGCAGGAGAAGACAAACAACTGAGAAGACCTACTAATCAATCTGCAACCACAGCCTTGTCTAGGACACCAAGGCTCAGTGACTGAGGTTGGAGTAGGCTTCATAGCGTGACAGAATTATTTTTGCATTGGTTTTATCCTATTGGGTAGATGCTACATTTCCCATATTAACGTTGTACATCTCCAAATAGCTTACTCCCTCTGTCCTATATGTGGAAAAGGCACTTTTTATAGACATAGCAGTGGGTTTATATTCTTCTATTATTTATCTAACCTGTCTAAAGCATTATTGCTAGTGTCCTATGTTAATGAATGATTGTAATGGGGAAACAGACATTTGGATGTGATTAAGCATTCTTGTAAACTAGGTGAAAAGAAATGACATAACGTTCTCTCTCTTCCCTTTCCCTCCATCACAGGATGAAGATGAGACGCCACAAGCTCTTTTTGACTCTGTGCATGGCTGGTCTCTGCCTCATCTCCTTCCTTCATTTCTTGAAGGCCCTCTCCTATGTCACATTCCCCAGGGAGCTGGCATCGCTTAGCCCTAACCTGGTGTCTAACTTATTCTGGAACAATGCACCGGTCACACCTCAGGCTAGCCCTGAGTCTGGGGGTCCAGAAATCCTCCGTACACCACTGTATTCCCACTCACCGCTGCTTCAGCCTCTCTCTCCAAGCAGAGCCAGTGAAGAGCTGCACAAAGCTGAGTTTGTGCTGCCTGAAGACACTGCAGAATACTTTGTACACACCAAAGCTGGTGGTGTCTGCTTCAAGCCAGGGACTAAGATACTGGAAAAGCCACTAGCAGGACGGCCAGATGAGAAGATAGAGGGAGTTATATCAGGGCGCACAGGCCGTAAGCCTCTGAGTGCCACTGGGACGAAACGACGTAAATGGGTGGAGTGCATGTGTCTGACAGGCTGGCATGGACCCAGCTGTGGTGTCCCCACTGTGGTTCAGTATTCAAATCTCCCCACAAAAGACCGTCTGATGCCACGGGAGGTGCCCCGAAGAGTCATCAATGCCATCAATGTGAATCATGAATTTGACCTCTTGGACGTGCGTTTTCATGAGCTGGGTGATGTGGTGGATGCCTTTGTGGTTTGTGAATCAAATTTCACAGCATATGGTGAGCCACGCCCTCTCAAGTTCCGTGAGATGCTACTCAATGGTTCCTTTGATTACATCCGCCACAAGGTGCTCTATGTCTTCCTGGATCACTTTCCCCCTGGCGGGCGCCAGGATGGCTGGATTGCTGATGATTACCTGCGCACTTTTCTAACTCGAGATGGCATTTCCCGCCTCCGCAATTTGCGACCTGATGATGTTTTCATAATTGATGATGCAGATGAAATCCCAGCCCGTGACGGTGTGCTTTTTCTCAAACTCTACGATGGTTGGACAGAGCCTTTTGCCTTCCACATGCGCAAATCTCTCTACGGATTCTTCTGGAAGCAGCCTGGCACTCTGGAAGTGGTTTCTGGTTGCACAGTTGGAATGCTCCAGGCGGTTTATGCCACTGATGGAATTCGCCTGCGCCGGAGAGAGTATTATACCATGCCAGGTTTTCGGCAGTACGAAAACAGCACAGGTCACATCCTAGTACAGTGGTCACTGGGCAGTCCGCTCCACTTTGCTGGCTGGCACTGCTCTTGGTGCTTTACACCTGAAGGAATTTATTTTAAACTGGTGTCAGCTCAGAATGGGGACTTTCCCCGTTGGGGTGACTATGAGGACAAGCGAGACCTTAACTATATTCGGGAGTTAATCCGGACTGGTGGGTGGTTTGATGGCACCACCCAGGAGTATCCACCTGCAGACCCCAAAGAACAAATGTATGCCCCCAAATATCTGTTGAAGAATTATCAACGGTTTTGTTACTTGTTGGAAAATCCCTACCAGAAGGCAAAGGGGACTGGGTGAGGGGAGTGGGCTTGCATGAGAAAACAGGATCTTCTGGAAAAAGGGAAAGTGAGACTGTATCTTTTGTTTTTTGTTCCCTGCCCTGTTCTGCTGGGATGTGTACATTCTCTCTAACCTCTGTCAGCCCCACTGCAGACAAGATACTTAGGGTATGTGTGTGTGGAGGGGGGACTCCTAGTTATGTGAATAACTAGGAGCACTCCTGTCCCCCAGAACTAGCATTTTGTAGGATGGAGGAAAACTGATGCAGGACGCATCCATAAGACATGGGATCTGGGGAGCATGCAGTGGATGTGCGAGGGTAGGAGTGTGCCAAAGCCTCTACAGCCTTTGTAGTATAGCTGAGGATGGCATTCAATTCCATTTTTAAACCCCAATTTCTTCTAAGTAATTTGACATCAGCGACGGTTAAGTTTCTGCTTTCCTAATATCCTGCCACTAAGAGATATTTTGTCAGTGAAATTGGACATTGAGCTCATCTAGGATCTTTATATTTTGCCATGTGCATCTGCTATATTAGGGTGTAAAGATGGGAGCACACACAAACTGGGAGCATAGTAGCACCAAAGAATTCTGCTTTCCATCTCATGATTATAGACATTCAGGGAAACTCTACAAACTGGCAGGGTATGAAGGTTGAAAAGCTGTCTGATTTTTGGATATATTTTGGATAGCTAGCCAGCCTTTAATATAAGAATAAGATGACAGCACAACCTGTAGCCCACAGATTTGAAAAGAATATAGCTATCACAGATACACTTCCCTCTTCTTCAGCAACAAAACATGGTGTTTACATTTTTCAGCTAAAACAGGGTGTGTTTAATGCTTCAAAGGAAAGGAGAGGTCAGCTCCAGTGCCCGTCTTACTACTTCTGAAACAGGAGAAGTGCAAAGATACTTGGCTCTATGATGCCACTGTTTTGAGGACAAGATAATATTGTTGCTATACCAATAATTTGGTTTGCAAAGGCAGAGACAGGGGGAGGGAGGGTGTGTATTTGATGGAAATGAAATGAGAATCCAACAGTTATAATCTGGATGCCAAGCATTTCTGTGTTCCATTGATTTTTGCAGCTTTTCCTTTCAATGAAATATATCAGTGGCTACCCAAATTCCTTTTGTGTGTCTCTGGCCCTACATCAAGATGAAAAACATGTTAAGGCCTACGTTCTGTTAGCTGCTAGAAAAATATATGAAACAATGAGGAGGAGCTCAAAAAGAGGTTCTTTGTCATAATGTGTTATCCTGGTATGCACTTCTTTCCCTGTTTGATCCACCCAGCATTTCACACACTTTTCTGCCTTTATGTGAATTCCCACCATTCTAGAGGATGCAAACCATGTTGTATGCGATTTGTCTTTTGCACATTTTGTCTGAGCAATGTACTCTGCCAGTTCATCCTCTAACTTTTTTTATGTGGTGAATCTCTAAATATTGACTTTTGGTTCGGCACTGAGTCTTGTGAATGCTCTTTTCCAGTAGCAAAATTTCAGGAATGTGGATTTGAGCTGGGAGAAGATGAACAGGATTTTTCCGTTTGTGCTTCAAGCTAATCACAGGGTGGCTCCTTCACCAACAAAGTAATATTCTGTTGGTTGCACCATGTAAACATGGTTGGGTGAATTCATGAATGGTTTAAAAAGAAATTATTTTATGGTAAGCAGCTTTGGAATGACAGAACAAAGCAGCCCTGAGCTTGCTTGAAATTTGTCATGTTACCAAGAAGAGACTTGTACTACTTTTAATCTTGTGCATCAGCATAAAGTACTCTTTGTCAATATTAAATTATGTTAAACTTTCCCTCTATAGACGTTGTACCCTGCTCTATTATAAAATTAAACTGAGCCAGAGAAGATACATATGCCTTAAATATAAGAGGGATTTGTCATGTCAAAGGAGAACTATGTTGGGCACAACAGAAAACAGTATTTCAGTTGTCATATGGCTATGCTAAAGCAAATGTGTAGCAATAGCAAAAGAAACACTGGTGAGGAAATGAAGGTGGTGAAACACCAAGACTTTTTAGTATTCCTTCATTGCAGATGCAGGAAGTGTTTTCCCCCCACTCTTGTGAGGAAATGAGAATCTAGGCCACAACTCAATTGTTCTCTGGTTCTGATTAAACTTCAACCAACAGGAAGTCTATCTGCACAGTCAATCATAATAAATAACAGGAGTTGATATCCAACAACATCAGAAGGACTGCAAGTTGTCCACCTTGGTCTAGGACCAATCTTTTTCACTGCAGTGTTCTCTAGATATGTTGGAATTCATATTTGGAGAGCTGGGGAAAGATACTCTAGAGGCCATAGCTTTCAGTGCTTATAATTCCAAACTTCCAGTTAAAAAGCAGTAATTAGGATATGCTTCTTCAATATTGAGTGGGGACAAAGAGAAATGGAAGAGGTGCTCCCAAACTACTGTAACATGGAAAAACTGCACTTTTGTACTCAGTGAGACATGAACTGGGAGGCTGAAGTGTATTTGACCACTGGGTTCAAATCAATCAACCCCACATAAAAAGACATTTTCGCTATATCACGAATGCATAGTTTCCTAGAAGAATGTACCCTTTCCTCTAGCTCAGTCAACGCTGATTTTGACTCACATTTAATCTACTGGCTGTCGTCTATATGTGAGGCTATGCCTGACTTTTCCAATGAATGCCCATGAATTCTAATTCACCTATTAGCACAAACTTTCAGCTCCATCTGTCACCAAAATGCAACATTTCTGAGCTCCTCCTTTATCCTTTCTACAACTTTTTCTACTCCCCACGCCACATCTCTCTTTTTCTCCTCTTATTTTCTTTCCCTTCCACTATTGTGTACAAGGAACAGATCCCATTATAAATGGATAAGTTAGCACCAAATTCCTCTGGGACACTGAAAGGACTCTTTGTTCTGGTCTCCGTCTCTAACTGCACCAAAGTGAAACTTGAAACTGACCTCTATTGGGAGAGAAAAGAAGAATTTACAGTAAAACCTTTGCTTTAATTAATAATAACAACCACCTTTTGCACAGGGTGGCTTCAAAAAAACTTCCAGTATAAGGAACATTTATTTATTATATAGCTACTAGCATTCAGTTTCACAGAACAGACTGTAAGGAACTTTGCACTAATAAAAATCCTTTGGGTATCTGTGGGGTTGGGTATGGGAGACACTTACTTTTGGGAAATGTCTTAGCATGCCAATATTTTAGGACATTAATAACTTAGAGAAAGTAAATGGAGCTAACCTGTGCAGGTCTCATAATACAGCATTAACCTGAAGAAGCTACTGAAAATGAATGAATTAAATCCTGTGGGTGGGTGGAGTGTGACAAGTAAGAGAGGAGAGCTTTTTGATGATTTAAGAGCCTGCCCTAATTGAGACCTTCTGTACAATTCTCCATGTGTAAGGACTCATGCCTATAAATTGAACAACACATATGACTTTCAACCTTATAATGAAATTACTATGTCCGATGACTAATCGAACAGAAGACCTAATATTCTTTGTACATCACTGTAATGCAACTGAATGTGGTGAACAAAGGAAATCCATCTGGTCTGTAATAGTGGAGTTATTGCTGCTTCTGCATGGGTAAATGTTAAGGGGCCTATCCCTGTTTCATCCTTACTGGCACTTTCTTTCTTTTAAAAATGATGTAATGAATGCACAGCTTTTGTGCATGGCATTGCTGCTGTAGCAGTTATGACTTCAACTGTGTCATTGATTCTGAAGTTAAATTCTATTTTTAAACTTCTCACATGACTTTAAGTGGAAAAAGATGGGATAACTAAAGTACTTTCAGAGTTCTTCCATATTTTATAGAAAGGCTCAGAACAGACTCCACAGCACTGTATCTTATAGTGTCCATACCAAACCTGGGTTTGAGTAACATGGATTTCAACATATTGTTGGGTTCTAGCTCCTAACCATTCCCCATGCTACCCAGAGATTGCATAAACCAAAAGCTACACAAATACACACAGGAGCCTCTTTAAATAACAGTTGGCTTCTTAAACCTCCTTCCTGGTTCTTTTCTTTCCTCTTCCCAGCCCTCATGAATACCTAGAACTAATTGGATAATGCCTCTTAATGGTTGTTGAGTAACAATATGTCTTCCTTTTGCAGCCTTTACCCCACCCCATTCTACTCTGCTGTTCCCAAACAAATCTCCAGAAAAGTTTAAGCATAATTGTCACAGTCAAACAGCCATACTGAGTACAGTAGTTAACAAGTGGTGCCTATTTTGCAGACTGCATTTAGAGCTTGGCTTCTCATCTGTGTAGTTCTCCCTAACTCTTTTTCAAGCTTGATTGATAAAACCTGGCTGTAATATTGGTCCTAGGCTATGCCTCTCTTAAGTTGCAAGTGGGGGAATTCAGTTACCTTCTATATAGAACATAATTTTCTCTCAATATAGAGCAGTACAGTAAAGAGAGAGATGTTTATCTTACCAGCTTCTATGATGTTCTAATTTTGTGATTGCAATTGGGGTGTGCTCTGTCCTGTGTTCCATTTTCTGCAGCCTTACGTAGCAGAGACCAGGAAAGTTCTATTATCTTAATTACTTCTTATATGAACTAGGCTAATCATGGCTTTAATCTGTTCCTGAGTATCTTATTATCTTTTAATCTCTTATACAATATAGGCAGCAACTTAGGTGACTGCTGGCATTATGCTTCCCCTTTTATCTATTTGTTCTAATTCTCATTTTTATGTTCACTACAACTCTGGCACACCTTATTTTAGCTTTCCACAACCTGCTGTTGGAATGGCAGTTCCCAAGCAAATCTGTGGTGGCTGAACATTAATACAATTGCTGTCTCGGTATCTAGGAAAACATCAGGTTAAAAAAAGATTTTCTAGTTAAATAAGATGCCTGACACTAACTAGAGGATTTATGTGTTCATCATTTCATTCTCTGTGAGTTCTTCTCTTGCTTTCCCCCTTTCTCCTACTATGAAACTCCATACTGTCTTCCCAACATCTGCATTACAAAAACAGGAAGGTACATTTTCTTTAGCAGGTATACTGTACAAGGAGGTTCTGAATTATTGTACAGTAGTTGAAACTATTATTTTTTAAAATTGCAGCTAAACAGAACTTGGACTTGAACTGATATTTATATTGATTCATTACTTACTCCTGGCCAATCACTTTGTTTTCTCTCTCTTTTCCCCTGGTTTCAACTGATGGATGTATGACCTGTACTCACATTCTGGCTTAGATTGTAAGGGACAAGATATGTCTTTTTAGTCCATTAAAAGCTAACTGCTTTAATAAAGGAAGGGAGTGCCCTCACCTTCATTTATGTCCACTTCCAGAGTGTTTTCCCATCTTTGGAGAAATTTTAAAAGAGAAAATATGTTA